CCCCCCCCCCCCCATTCCCATCACCCCCCAAATCCCAGCATCCCCCAAAAGTGCATAATTCCCCTCAAAGCACATCATCCAAAACCGCAGGATTTACCCCCCAAATCCCAGCATCACCCCCCCAAAAGCATCACCCCCAAAACACAGCACAACCCCCAAAAGTGCATCGTTCCCCCCAAAGCGCATCAACCCCAAAAGTGCATCCCATCACACCAAACCCAGGATTTACATCCTAAATACCAGCTTCACTCCCCTAAAAAGCATCACTGCCCCAAACCCATCACCACCCCAAAAAAGTGCATCCCATTACCCCAAAACCTCAGGATTTACCTCCCCAAATCACAGCATCACTCCCAAAACACAGCACAAACCCCAAAAGTGCATCATTCCCCCCAAAGCACATCGACCCCAAAAGTGCATCCCATCACACCAAACCCAGGATTTACCCCCCAAATCCCAGCATCACTCCCCTAAAAGGCATCACCCCCAAAGTCCTGCATCCCTCAAAACACAGTTTCCCCCCCCAAAGTGCATAACCCCCCCTAAAGTGCCTCACTGCCCCCCAAAAGTGCCCCCAGAGCCCGGGCAGGGCCCCAAAAGTGCCCACCTTGTCCCCGCAGACCCGCAGCAGCCTCAGCACCTCCGCCAGGAATCCCGGCGTTTTGTCCGCCTGGATGTTCTCCGGGTTCCTGGGAAACAAAACATCGGGAGGGGGATTCCCCTCGGGAGGGGGGGAGACGGGAAAATTTCGGGATTTGGGGGGTAAATAACGTGTTTCTCGGGGTAAACGCCGTGTTTTGGGGCGGGGCGACGCACTTTTTTGGGGGGATTCGACACTTTGGAGGGAGGGGAGGGATGGGATTTTGGGGAGGGATGCTGGGATTTGGGGGGATGCTGGGATTTGGGGGGATGCTGGGATTTCATGGGGATCCCAAAGGCACGAAATACGGGGGGATGCTGCCATTTGGGGGGGTAAATCCTGTGTTTTGGGGTGATGGAGGGTTTTTGTGTTTTGGGGGCTCATGATCCACCTTTGGGGGGTGCTGTGTTTTGGGGGATGCTGGACTTTTGGGGGGGTGATGCACTTTTGGGGGGGTGACATGATTTGAGGGGAGTAAATCCCGTGTTTTGGGGTGATCTGATGCACTTTAGGGGGATAATGATGCACTTTTTGGGGGGTTGATGCACTTTAGGGGGATGATGATGCACTTTTTGCGGGGTGACATGATTTAGAGGGGGTAAATCCTGTGTTTTGGGGTGATCTGATGCACTTTGGGGGGGGGATGCGCTTTTTGGGGGAGGAATGTTGTATTTTGGGATTTCTTTGGGGGGTGATGCACTTTAGGAAAGGACCCTGTGTTTTTTGGGATGCTGTGCTTTCTGGGATGCTGTGCTTTTTGGGATCCCGTGCTTTTTGGGATGCTGTGCTTTTTTGGGATCCCGTGTTTTTTGGGAGCAGGGTGCACATCCCACAGGACACCACGATGCTTTGGGACCGTGGCAAACTGGGACCAGCATCACTGGGACCAGTTTGGTCTCTTCAAAGAGGGGGTTCTTCCCTTTTGGGGGGGGCACAAGACCAAGAGATGGGGGGTCCCCTCAATGCCCTGTGGGGCTGCCCC